AATTAAGGAACTTTACCTCTTCGCTCGCCAAAAAGATCTGGCGATAACACAACTTGCAAGCCGTCATCCAGAGCACGCCGACACCCCTCTCGCCACGGTTCACAAACCATCAAGCGAAAAACTCGGCATACTCCATCCGTCTCATAATACGCGGCGCACGAGACGTCGCGCAAAGGGCCAACATGAACAGGCGCCACTGCTTGGAAAGGTAGAAAAGCCAGAAACCCAAATTCCCTATTTTCTTATAGAAGTGGTTTAGATTTATTAATTATTATGGCATCCCATTCCCATCAGCGGTGCAGGTACGAGGGGCAAACGGTGGGGGCCGTTTGTCCGGTCCGCCGCCACGCGCCTTACAAAAAGGAAAGACCAGCAGGCGACCCAGTCCCCACCCCCGCCCCCGCAACTGCGAGCTTCTCCCTCCCTCCCTCCCTCATCATCCCCCATCTCCATCCCGCACGCGCTGGCTGCTGGCTGCCTATCCGCTGTTTCTCCCTCCCCGTGTGCCGAGCCGAGCCGTGCCCGTGGCCCCCCTCCTCTCCGCTCCTCTCCCCGGCGGCGACTCCCCCAACAAGGTACGCCCCCTCCCAAGAGATCCCTCTTTCTCGCCCCCACATTGGTTTGTTAGCTAGCACCGGGATTCTCGCCTCTCGTCCGCCCGGGACAAGAATGGGCAGGGAGCCCTCTCTCCGGCCGGTGACGGGATTCCGGCTCCTGCCCGGCCGGCCGGCTTGCGTGTTGATCTCCCTGCACGTGCAACATTCCATCAGCAGAGTCTTGCATCCTCGTCTCGCCCAGTTCCGCCTGAGGAAAGGGAACGAAATGACGCCATGGAGCTTTCCAAGGTTGGGGGCTGAGGTTTCTCTCTCGCGCGCCATTCGTTTTGCCCCTGTTCCCTTCCCAGTGCCTCCGCAGATGCTGCACGAAATCTTCATCCTTTCTTGGTTAATCTCTGTGGCCTGTGTTTTTTCAGCACTTCTGACATCAAAATTCTCTAAATTCTTCCCAAGGCTTACATCATAGCGCCGGGCGCAAAATATCCGCCTGAGGTTTCAAGCGTCCTAGCGCGCGGCATGCTTCGTGAACCACGCCAGTATCCGGAGACGTTTAACGGCGAGATCCGATTGCTGACGTTTCGCCCCGAAGCAGTAACCACTGAAATTAATTACCCGCCATAAATGCATAAAGGTTTCGGCAGGCAGCTTCCAGGAAGCTGCAGTCGATGAAGCTTGCACGTTCCCGATTTGATTTCACCACATCTTAAATTGTTCAAAAATGGCAGGTCTTTGGAGACTGGCTTGAGGGCGCCTAGGAGAGACTGACCTGGAGGATGTACAAGGCAAGGAGGCAAGCCTCACTCAAAGTGCGGCGACGGGTCGGGAAGTATGAGCTCGGGCGGACGATCGGGGAAGGGACGTTCGCCAAGGTCCGGTTTGCAAAGGACACCGAGTCCGGGGATCCTGTCGCCATCAAGATCCTTGACAAGGCCAAGGTTCAGAAGCATGGGTTGGTCGAGCAGGTCAGATCATTTTCTGATAAATTTCCTTTGCATGACTGCTCTGTTTCCTAGATATTTCACAACATATTGAAAGTTCCCTGCCTCATGCTTTCTACTAGAACTGAGCTGTCGTTATGCACAGAAATAACTGCTCCTGTATTTCATTCTAAATATAGTCAAGAAAGGGGGCTAGTTTACGGGCTTATGCTCTACCTTGATGTTGACGCCGCTCTGAAATCTTTTGGCAGATTAGACGAGAAATCTGTACGATGAAGCTGATACAGCACCCCAATGTTGTCCGCCTGCATGAGGTAAAGACTAAAGACCAGCCTTTGGAATTTTGTTTTAAGTATGATATCCCCTACCCACATTAGAAATATGTACATCCAATTCTGCAGTTGATAACTAACTATTTCGACTCCAATATAACAGGTGATGGGAAGCAAGGCAAGAATTTTCATCGTTCTGGAATATGTCACGGGTGGAGAGCTCCATGATATCATCGTTAGTACTACTACTGCATCTCTTGTTTCATATTTCTCTGTGATGGGAGCTTAGCAGCACACCAGTTGCTTGAAACCTTGTAATCTTATATTATTACACTATGGCTTTTTCTTTACGTTCGCCTTTATTGATTTCCACTAACTTCATATTCAGGCTGCCCGTGGAAGCTTGAAGGAGGATGAAGCCCGCAGATACTTTCAGCAATTGATCAACGCTGTTGATTATTGCCATAGCAGGGGTGTATACCACCGAGATCTGAAGGTACATCGCCAACCACTCAACCCCTCGGTTCCAATTTATGTATCTGGTTTAGCAAAACATGAAACTGACAAATGGATGTTTTATGTGTGCCAGCTAGAGAATTTGTTGCTTGATACTGCTGGGAACCTCAAGGTCTCAGACTTTGGCTTAAGTGCGATATCTGAGCAGGCGAAGGTAATAACACATTTTACAATCATAAAGATCACACGAGTCATTGCATTTCTGTAGTTTTTGTTCATGTCATTTAACTTATTAAACTGTAACCTCCGATTACTTCAACTCAACAGGCTGATGGGTTACTACATACTACATGTGGGACACCTAACTATGTTGCTCCCGAGGTAACAGCTTCTTCTACATTTGCATTGATTTTGTTTTAACCAGGAATGAACATGCCTATAATCTAATGGTACCCAATATCCAGGTTATCGAAGATAAGGGCTATAATGGTGCGCTTGCAGACCTTTGGTCTTGTGGGGTAATTCTTTTTGTGATGCTTGCTGGGTATCTGCCTTTTGAGGATGACAACGTCTCAGCCCTTTATAAAAAGGTAAGACAGAAGGAATAAGAAAATACATAAATGCCAATATTACTGGATGTATATTTGCATTTACCCTCTTTCTCTTGACAGATCTCTGGAGCTCAGTTTACTTGTCCCTCGTGGTTTTCTGATGGAGCTAAAAAGCTGATTCCCAGGATTCTGGATCCCAGTCCTTCTACTGTAAGCCTTTTTACTTCACATTCCATTTCAGAAATTTGAAATTAGGCAGCCAAAAGGTCAACAGAACTGCTCCCACCCATGCAACACAAGTGGTGGCTCTGCACTTTTTTGGTCTATGACTACATTACTTATGGAGTTGTTTCTTACTCGGTTCCTCATTGTCGTTGACCAGCGGATAACTATCCCTCAACTATTAAAAGATCCATGGTTCAAAAAAGGGTACAAGTCACCTGTTTTTTATGAGAAATATCAAACTAGTTTGGCTGATGTTGATGCTGCTTTCGGAGACTCAGAAGTGAGTTAATCGATCTTGTTTTCACTGGAAAAGCCGCCTTTATGGCTGAGATAATATTACTAAAATGGATGGTTACTGTGATTGCCAGGAAAAACAAGTTAAGGAGGAAATCGAAGGGCAGCCAGCTTCGATGAACGCATTTGAGTTGATATCACTGAATAAGGGACTGAAGCTAGATAATTTTTTTGAAGCTGATAAGGTTAGGAACTGTTGCAGCATTTTGTCCCATAAATCTCACTATATATTTGTCGCAATTTTTCACACCATGCAACTGCAGTCAGCTAAAATTTGTTAACCAATGACAGAAGTACAGAAGAGAAACAAGATTTACATCGCAATGTCCTCCTGAAGAAATCATCAGTCGGATAGAAGAAGCTGCTAAGCCACTTGGCTTTGACATCCAAAAGAAGAACTACAAGGTAATGCCAAGCATCCTCCCATGGATACGACTTTTAACATAGGTTGTGTGAAATTTGAAGTATCTGAATATGAGTAACTGAGACTGTCCTTGTCATCCCCATGACTTAACCTTTCATTTTATATCTTGTTCTTTCTAGATGCAAATGAAGAACCTAGAAGCAGGAAGAAAAGGAAACCTAAATGTTGCAACTGAGGTTAGAATAAAACACAGCAGTTTGAGAAATGTCTTTCATAACGTAATGCAATTATTGATCAAGGCTGACATTTCTAGGTCTTCCAAGTGGCTCCATCTTTGTTTGTTGTTGAGCTGAAAAAGGCAAAAGGAGATACTCTGGAATTTCAGAAGGTACTGCTCTTGAATATTGTGGTTCTTTAGCTGTTTTACTCATTTCACTAGGAAATTAAGATGTACGGTAGCTTCTTTCCTGAAGCTTTTCTATTCTATACAAGCGCCCATGAAGGACTACACACACATAATTTAAGCAAGCGACTTAGAACACAATCAAGTACTCCCTCCGTCCTAAAATAAGTGACTCAACTTTGTACTAGCTTTGTACAAAGTTGAGTCACTTATTTTGGGACGGAGGGAGTACCCAACAAAGAAGAATGTCTTTTTTTAACCTTGAGTTTATTCTTGTAGCTGCAAATCAGTTTATATCCAATGGGTAAACCTAACTGACTCGGCATTAATTGTTTGCAGTTCTATAAAACACTCTCTGCGCAGATAAAGGATGTTGTTTGGGTTTGCGAGAGTGAGGTTGAAGAAAGAGGCTCCACATAAGGCAGCTGCAGAGTGTCTTTCTCAGGAAGTAGTATTTTAGGTTCTCATGTATATAGTTGTCCTTTGTTCCTTGTAGATTCGTCCTGTGCTCAATGTATATAGAGCTTTAGGCTGGTTCATGACTTCGTGGTCTAGAAGCAGATGAAATATATACCAGTAGGTTCAAGTGCCTCTCTTTTTTCCCTTGAAGAAGGAAAGGTTAAAATCTTGTCTGTGTAGCATCGAAGTGTACTGATATCAAGATAAAAAAGAATGAACATGGGAGGACAAGAACAGGCAATCGGGACTGATTTATTCTCATCTCTCAATGAGGCTAATACGGTGAACAAGGTATGCCATCTGGATAAAGCAAGCAAGCATCAGGTTTCAGACACCAACGCAACTCAACCAGCGAAGTCCAGCTACTGCCTCAAGCTGCAACTTGTTCCCTCAGGTTTTCTGCTGACTGCACGCCGACATTGTCCTTATCTACTGAACTCTCTGAATTTGAGGCCTTGGGAGCGTCTGCGTTCTTGAGATCTTCCAGGATGCTTGCGCTCCATTCAGAAAGCTGCTTCACAGATGCCTCATCTGTAAAAGACAAACAATCTGCCTCTCAATCTATTCACAAGAAATTTCGACAGTTATTTACATAGAAGAAAGACAGGGAAGAGTGCAAACCAAGCCTGGGGACAGTGTGACCCTGGGGGTGCCTTATGATGAGAGGGTCAGCAAAGGCAGAAGCCAGCTCCTCGGAAGGTACTTTGAGCCAGTCTTTCTCTCCAATGAAATGTACAGATTTCGCCTTGATCGGGTCCTTGTAGGCCACATCGCAGATGCTTGGGTCCCTGAATTTGCTCCCGGATACTGACACCATGAACTTAATTGGTGGGTGATCATTCAGCACCTTGCCCTACATCATTCAACCTAGTCAGAATCCACATGGAACCAGAAGCAGACACATGGTTTGGAGGACATCTTCCTCTGAGAACCATATTTCCTGCCTAAATTTCCATGTCCTAGTAAATACTTATTAGAATTGTTAATTTAGAGACAGATCTAAGCCTGTATCAACATGTTCTGCATAAGATTATGATATCTTTGGCATATGCTCTTGAAGAATAACTTCCTCTTTCCTAGAGTGTGGCATGTGACGCTGCTAAATTTATCAAAATTTACTATTCTGTCAGGATGGACAGGAGTTTCCTATTGATAAAGGGGCCAAAAAACTCTCAACCACTAACTGAATTGCTAGATCGCGGGGACTCTGTTGTTTAATAATGGTAGTTGGATCTCACAGTTAATTTATCAATATTTACTTGCAGATCCAATCCATTGTTTCTGGCTCCTTTGTATATCTCTGGAACTTAACTCGAGGACTCAAAGTTTGCAGAATCTGAGAGTTCAAAAGGAGTACCTGTGCTTGGTAGCCTATCAAAAGGGCTGAAAGTGTTGCGCCCTGGAAGGAAAGAGAAGTTAATAGATGAAGCAAAACATACTACAAGTAGGTTTTCAACACAGAAAATCCTGTGTTGCTCAGGAATTAATATCATAAGCACCCCCCAAACAGTAGTTATTTTGAAGGTTTCCTTTACCTGGGAGAATCCAAGCAGACCGTCGAAAGGCCCGTTTTTCACCATGTAATCACACAGATAGGCAATGCACTCGTCTAAATTTGTGTATTCGGTGAAATCCTGCAGTAGGAACACATGAATGATGCTAGCTGGAAACCAAACTGAAGCCTGGAAGAAGTGCTGATTTCAGTCCTGGTTTCTACTGAAAAGATACCTTGTCGAACTGAAACCACTCAAAGTATGGTGGGGGGAATATGCCCTCGATGTCGGACTTCCCCCCAGCTGGGAACTGGCCATCAGGGAAGACCTGAAAAACCCAGCAGAATTGAACTTGGGATTAAACCAGAGCAAAAGGCAAAAAGCGCTTAAACAGGATCTATCATCGAGTCGAGGGAAGAAACCGTGTCGAACTGCTGGAGGATGGAAGGGTGCCATTTGCTGATCTGCTTCTTCAGGAAACCCCCACTTGTCCGAAAGCCGTGGAGGCAAAGCACCTTGAGCTTCTTCTCCTGCTCCATGTGTGTGTGCGTGTGTTCCACTCTTGCACAAGCACAGAGAATTCCAGGCCTTAAGAGGACCATGAGCACGGTGGTAGTTGCTACCTACTACTCCTCACAGGCACAGGCTGCAACGTTGCTATCATCCAGCGATTGTTGGTTGCAACCTACCCAGCAGCACATTTAAGCCTGATACTTTTCTGTGAAGGCTAAATTTACATTTCAAATTTCATCCAGCATCACATACATCAATTGTATCTTCATCTGCCATTCACAAGCGAAAACAGGCACCAAAGCACAGGATAACACCTGTAAAATTAATAAAGAGTTGAAGAATTACGAAACACCAGCTTTCCATTGATACTAGAAGAGTCAAGCAGAAGTTGATGAAAAAATATACTACAAACGGGCGCAACAGCAATCAGGATACACCAGGGAGGACACAAGTTCACATAAAACACAAGAGGTCTGGAAACACACTGGAGAACATAGCAGGAATTGCGTCGTCCGATCCGTTTTAGCAGCTACAGCTAGGTAGGATGCTTAACTGGAAATCGATCAAATAAGAGTTGCATCTTAAACTAATATGCAATGCACAATTCTCCTCCTGTCTTGGGAGCACGGTTGGGTGCTCATTTGGCCATCATGACCTTGACAAACTCCTCATAGTTGATCTGGCCATCACCGTCGACGTCGGCTTCACGGATCATCTCGTCCACCTCCTCGTCGGTGAGCTTCTCGCCGAGGTTCGTCATGACGTGGCGGAGCTCAGCAGCAGAGATGAAGCCGTTTTGGTCCTTGTCGAACACCCTGAAGGCCTCCTTGAGCTCCTCCTCTGAGTCGGTGTCCTTCATCTTGCGGGCCATCAGGTTGAGGAACTCTGGGAAGTCAATGGTGCCATTGCCATCAGCGTCGACTTCATTGATCATGTCCTGGAGCTCAGCCTCCGTTGGGTTCTGCCCCAGCGAACGCATGACTGTTCCCAGCTCCTTGGTGGTGATGCAACCTGTAAGAGATAGATACAATCAACTCCAGGATCAAACACAGCGTGTTGGCCATGCATAAAACAAATTAAATCTTCTTTAACAAATGGAAAAGATTGTTCACTACACATCAAATCAGGACAGATCAACTTCTGAAAAAAAAAGGAAAAACAATGTTCTTATTGCCATTAATGAGCTTGAAAGCAGTAAAGAAGATCTCCAAGCAGGGTACTAAGACGCTAAATCGAAACATATTTGTACAATACTGAGAATATCTTGCATAAGTACAGTATTGAGAATATCTTGCATTAATTCAGCTGGAAGGTGCGTATCTAGATTTATCCCAGGTGATTACAAGCCCACAGAATAACATCAAAACAAATTACCGCAACAATAACTTCGCTGTGAAGCGTTCGAGACGAGATACTTCTACGCGGTTACTAACCAACTTCTACATTACACGAGTACTGTGAAAACTCAACAAATCAGGGAACTACTAAAATGTTATCGGCTTGCAACTAGTCCAGCACAAGGATTTTCAACTACAGTAGGATCATCGGTATTCAGACAAACTTGACAACCACATGGCACATCATCCAAAGCAAAATCGCAAAATTACTTAAATTTCCTACATAGCATCATCAAACGTTCATAGAATTTCCCTGTAAAACTAGATGGCGGGATTTCTCTGTACAAGGATCTCTACATGAATTTAACCACCTAAACCGAACGAAGTGCAGTAAAGATCAAGCTACAGCGACAGTCCACGGTCAACAACCACGACTCGTTCAGGCTTAGCTGTTCTTGAAGCAACAGTGGGCGCGATCGCGACGCGATCCGGAAAATAAATAAAACCTAGACGGCGACGAGACGTCGCCGTCACGAAATGGTCAACCGGGAAGATAAGCGTCGCGTGCACATCATCGTCGACTCGCCACTAGGCGCGCGCACGACAGCGACGCGGTTCCGCCAGCGGCCAGGCCCAGATCCGGGCCGGATCTACCTCCCGACGGCGCGAATTCGACGCGCAGCAGGGGCGGGGGCAATGCGCACCGCGCGCGCGGCGGCGAGCGTCGCGCGAAGGAGAGATCCGGGGGACGGGAGGCGGAAGGGAGGGGGAGGGACGCGCTCACCATCTCCGTCCTTGTCGAAGAGGCTGAAGGCCTCCTTGAACTCGGCGATCTGGTCGTCGGTGAGCTGATCCGCCATGCCGCCGGCGCGGTGGTGGACCGGTGGATCGGGCGGGAGGCGGCGAGCACGGTCGGGGCGCAGGCGCGGACGAGGATGGGCGCGGCGGACGCGAGAGCAAACAGAGAGAGGCCGGGAGCGTTCTGTGGCGTGGCGTCCGGTGGAATTTTCCCGGCCGGATTTATACAACGCCCCACCGTCAGCTCCGCTAAACGCGGCCGTTAGCGTCCGCGCGCCGGATTCCCCAAACTGCCCCTCTGCCGCCCTCCCGTCCCGTGACGCTCTTGTTGTTTATCACTGCTAGCTCCAGAGAAAATAAGATGGCCAGCTCCAATAATTTGCTAGTAGATGGTATGCCACTTGTGGTTTCTAATGCACATTTTGGAGTGCTTTGGTAGGTGCAGGGCACGAATTCATGGAATAGTCATGCGTTACCTAACTTGAGAAAATAATGCAACTTGTTTTGTGGCTGGGCTCTGGAGTCGGGTCATCTGTACATCAACACGGTTGTCTGATGGTTTTATGTATGTGCAATTGGGCCTTCTTCATCTTATATCATGCTCTAACACGTACAATAGTAGTGTACCAATGTCAAAAGTACATGAAACATGTCGATATTTATCTTTTTTTCCGGAAAATATTTATCTCTACTTGCCTAGGACAGCATTAATGGTGTAGTATGCTATGTTGTCAGGCACTACAGGTCATAAAAAGAGTGACATGAGATAGGTCATGGACTGGTAGGGTAGATGAAGACTCGATTTAATGGATTAGTTCATGAGTGTGTCGCGCGTGTGTTATGTGGTCTGTTGCTCAGCATAAGACGCGTGGATGTGCAAGGGGGTCGAAAACAATTTTTTTTTATATCCTTATGAGCTCCCCTCTATTTTTTCTCCCCACGAACATTTATCTATTTGTGCTTAAGCCGATATTAAGATTCAGTTGCATGTTCATGACACGAGGACAATGATTGACGTAATAGCATAGTATTTTTTTGTGGAAACAAATACGCGGTTTCTACACAGTATTTCCCTTGACGGTCTATGGAATCCTTCCAGGTTGCTTTCACGCGTCTAAAAGTCTTCAAAAATTCCGCTTAGAAATGTATTCAAAGGTGTCCTTTTCTTAGCAAAGGATAAGAGGACAAATATATGTGCAACTTCATGGTATACCTTATGAAAAGTGTGAATAGTGAACAACATAGCGGATCAATCCCCACAAAACGAGGATGTATAGAAGATAAAAAGAGAAAAAATGCGAAAAGAAAATGATAAAACCATGTAAATTTGAAGATATACGGATCATGCTCTACCAGGGGCAATTTGGTAACACCGGGCGCTCCGTTAGGGCCAAAGGCCCGTGCATCTCTGTGGACGGGGCCGACACGTGGGGCCGCACAAGGAAGGAATTTCTCGATAATGCACTGTCCGCTGGCATCTTTCAAACAGGGGGGAAATGACGGGAATGCCCTCCACGCGGTTGGGACGCGGAGTGCACAGTTTCGCCAGTCGGTCCTCCAGCTTTTCAGGTTTCCGCTTATCGGGCTCGCCAGGACCGTGGGCCATTTGGCACCACGGCCGCTCGCTGTTGGGCCTTCAGGCTACAATCTTTCCATTAGGCCCTGGAAGTCGATCCCCTTTATTTAAGTTTTTCTAGCATTCGCTCAAAAAAAAAATTCCTAGCAATTATAAACAGCAACGATTTTGTTGGGAGCAAGTTGAGCACCGTTAAAACAGGCATATGCACACTGACACGCTCCATAATCTTGTGTTACTCTGATTTTATTCTTGACAAGCGAAACCAGTCATCTCGACAAAAAAATGAACATGATCTCTATATGAATTACAGCTTTTTTATGCAAATTATGCACGATCCGATCGGCGCAGACATGAAGGGTGAAAACCCTCTCGCTCCTGTTCGGCGGCACTGGCTTCATGCGCTACGGTAAGCGCTATCGCTCGATGGCCTTGTAGAGGACGGTGGTGACATACTTGGACCGGAACCGGTGGGTGTGGCCGAGCGCCACCAGCGGCTGCGCGCCCCACCCCTTCTCGATGTAGAGGTGGTTCAGCACCACATGCCTTGGCCGCGCGCACTCCCGCTGCTCCGCGCTCCGCGAGTTGAGCACGCCGAGGTAGAGCTGCGCCGGCAGGGTGGGGGGCTCCTTGGCGAACTCCTTGTCCTCGGGGATCTGGAACCCGTAGCTCGAGTCCGGGGAGGGGGGCGCCATCAGCTCCGACACGCTCTCCACGCTTTCCGGCACAAAGTCCTGCATCAATTGCGATTGCATCACCGATGATCAAATGAATACCGTGAACATATATATACACCTTGATCAGTGTCAGGAATGGTGCTATATATGGTTGGTAATGGTAAGTAAGATCAGGAATAAATGAATACTCACATTGACGTCAAGAAGGTTCACGATGTTGCCCACGTTGTCGGTCTCACAGGGAAGATCGGGGAGGTATCTTCTTTCCCCGTCAACGATGAATCTGTACCGGTAAACTCCTGATGGAAGCTCTAATAAGATGGTGTGGTCTTTCCCAGATTTCTGAACGGTTTTCCTGCCATATAGGTTTGGCTCTGTCAGTATTTCAAGCATGTCATTTCATCAAGTTTCAGTTTTGGGGAGAAAAGGTCACTGCTGGTTGATGAGAATGTACTTTGATGTCCAGTGATCCCATGATCCTTCCACGAAGATACACTTGCCTCCATGAGGCCACACAAGCAAAGTAGGGATCCTCTTTGGAGGGGGGCCGTCGGAATCATCCTGATCACGCATCAGTATCTGGTTGAACACCGGAGGTGGCACATCTGAAGCTCTTTGCAGTGGAGTTACAGGGCTCTGCAATACAAGATATATCAAAGAATTCATAAGGATCATGTGTAAGAAGAGCTGTATATGCAGTCTCTTGTGGCAAATATGAGACCGAGGGGGGTAAAATCGAATGACAAGATAGTAGGCATTCAGACTTTTGGGTACCAAATATGCCACGAAATTTTCAGAACAGATGCTACTGACAGATATACAACCGTATTATTTTTTGAGCATTCGGATGCAACAAATTACTAATAGTAGTTCGATAATTAAACACATTAATGAAAGACACAAACAGCCAGTGGTTTTTCTTTTACAGTATCAGCTATCGTGCAAACACCAAAACTTGTCAGGTGTGGCTGGCTGGAGATTTCTAGTTGAAAGTCACTCGTCGGGGAAAGTGAAATCAAGCTGTTCAATATCTGAATCTCACCAAGGAAAATGTTCAATAAGTATTTTTTTTACCCCTCAACTCTGACCTGAACCAATCATTCATCTGTCAGACTGTCACAAATATGAAGTTTCAGACAGCACGTCTTCAGATAGACTGTCACAAATATGAAGTTTCAGACGGCACGTCTTCAGATAACAATGGAGGCTCACGGTGACGATAGACAGATAGCTAGGGGCTTAAATCAACCGTAGTCGTAATTATCACTTAACCGTAGCCGCTCTAATCGATCAATACCTTCGGGTTCATGGCGTGATCTCATCGGATCGAGCGAGAAGCGCAGTGCGGCATAAGGCGAGAGCCACGCCGTTGCATCGCACTGGGGATTTGGAGGCAAGAAGCTCGACGTGATTCGAAACCGGGCGCGGGATTCAGGGATGGATTTGATTGAATTACGTACGTATGCGTGCGTGATCGATCTGACTGACCTGGGGCACGAACATGCGCGGCGAGTGCGGCCGCGGGGGGCTTCCGGGCGAGGACGACCCTCCCCCACCCCCTCCTCCGGCGCCGCCACCGCCGCCGCCTCCCCTCACGCCCCCGACGTATCCCGTAGACGAAGCGCGCCGCACGTGGCCGCGGCCCTCGTCCATCTCGGCGTCCGCGATGTCCTCCAGCCTGCCGCTCGCGTTGCCCATCGACCGACCCTCCGGCCCCGGCGCGCGCGGGGCAGAGGAGGAGAGAAAGATCGGAGGCCAGGCCGGTCGGGGCGTGGCGGTGTGCCGTCTCTCCGCCGTGCCGCCGTGCGTGCGATCGCGGCAGAGAGAGAGGAGGGCGATCGAGGCGGAACTGCCGACCCGGTCCGGCGCGGCGCGGTGCGGTGCTGCGACTGGGTTTGTTTGCCCGGGGAACGCACGAGCCCAGGCCCACGGCCCTGTTGCCCACACCCGTGCCAGCCAGGGCCCATTAGTTTCCCGTGCTCCATCAACAACAGTAATTCTCGCCACTAAAAAAACAGTAATTCTCAAAATAGGCTGTCGATGCTCGCAAAAAAAACAGGAGGCTGTCTCAAAAAAAAAACAGTACGCAATATCTTTCACAGGGGAAAAAAGAGGGCAATCGTGCATAAGCAATCGTCCCGTGGGAAATGATGCAAATCAGAGAGACCGAAGTTGATGCACAAGTGTTTTGCTGTCTTTTTTGCTAATGAAAATTTTCAATTGGCAAAATATACAATGTTTAGATAATTTTTTTGGGGTTTACCTGCTACAGAAGCAATAAGATGTTGCAAAATGCCTTTTCCCGCGAGCAACATATGCTCGTATGAGAGAATTAGGTAGCTAGGGTTTCGGAAGCATCCTCATCAGATGTACAATTGATCTGGGCAAAGCAACCTCACCAAACACGACTAGTAGATCACGGTACCTTCTTGCAACATGCGATATGCGCCGCTCGCCAAAGCTGAAATCGTCCATCGATGAACAGGGGGAACAGTCAAAATCCCGGAGCTTCAAGTCATGGCAAAGGAATAGCGTGTCGCGGACGATATGGTGCGCGATAGGGCCACGTTTGAGGGGATGGGAGGGGGTGTTGTTTGCAGGCCGGGGCCTATGTTGGGGTGGTGGTGGCCGCAATCTCACCGAGGGCGAAAGGCAACTGCTCACGGGTGGTTCATGGTAGGGAAGGGGAGGGGGTGTTGCGTTGAAGCATGACACTAATTGCAACGATCAGGCGATGGACGCCTGCACGTGTCCATCTCACTGGGCCTGCGTCAGCCGGACGACGCTTAGCGCCCACATTGAGAGTGGG